AGAAAATTTTGTGGGACAAACCTGAAAATAACATGGTTAACATCTGCATCTATTCCTTTAAACATAGTTTCTTGCTATATCTGAAACTTTTTGACCAGAATGACTATTTCCTCTTTTTGGTGTAACTTTTAAAAATCACATGGGTAGTATGTTCATGACAAAATACTTAGGAAATATGGATAAATCAGCAATAAGTTTAAAAAAGAATGAAAAGAAAGCAAATGTAATTCATCTATAGTTTTTACTCAGAGATAACCACTATGACAATTTGGTATTTACCTTCCCATGTTTGTTTTTCTGAGTATATGTTTGTATGTTTGGGAGGCACATATGTGTATATACACATATGTATGTACAGTCCCCATATATATAGTATGTGTGTGTATATAGAGAAATACTCTTCTGTTGCATGTGAAACTCAGTTTAGAGATTAAATATTATGTTATGAACTTAGTTCCCTTTACTTTGGTTAATGGATGTTATCACAAGTATTTCATATGTTGAAGTTGGAATAATTTAAAATTACGGTAAGAACCTAAAAAAATGATGATTTTCAGCTATTTTAAAGTATTCACAGGATAGTTATTTGTTTTCTTTGTTTAGATCTGTTAACATAATGTTAAAATTTGGAGGACGGTACTCATGGGCTAGATGCAGACTTAGGAGAGTCTTATTTAACATTTCTTCCAACTCGGCATACGTGGTTTCCCTTCCTTATCACATATAACTCGAGAACGAAGGGTGAATGAAAGGTCTGCTTTGCTTTTGGGGAAGTTACCTCCACGTTCCCAGAAATTGATTTGGCAGTTGATTGGATGGTCAAGGGAATGAGACCTGCATATTTCTTATTTACCTTTTTATCAGTTGGGTGCCAATCTTCTATTTTTTCCTCCTCTTCTCAGCATTTTTTGGATTAAACCAAATTATCTTTCCCCTTGGTGTGCTATATTAAAGGGTTCTTAGAAATGTTTTATTCCATAGAAACCTTAAATGCTGAATATGTGCTTGATCTAGACAACATTTCTAGTATTAAAACATTTATGATGTAATTCGTAAGGAATATGGGAGCTAATTCACCACAAAGCATAGTGCTTGTTACTACATACGCACGCACACAGAATTCCCTCCTCCAGTTTTCCTCCTCATTCGCCTAACCTACCAGTGCTTGTTTTTACATATAGTGTATTTCCCATGTACCAGCACACTTGATCAGAGACACTTGCTGCTGCTAGATGTTTTATTCTGTGTGTTCTTTGTACCTTACAGTAAAAGAATCTGTCACAAATTATTGTGGCTCACTGCTTTAGAAACTGAGAAAAAAGGGAGGTTAGATTGACATCTGTGACTGAATAATGATGACCAGCCTTTTGGCTCTCCTTGAGCCACAAAGCTAGCACTGCCTTTAGAGTGGAAAAAGAAGTAAGAAGAAAGGGGAGGGATAAAAGAGAGTTACAAATCTGTGGTCCCGGAGATGTATTACTGTTGGGCCAGTTGTCTGCGTGGTATGATAATCCATTTTGATCTTCTCTGTCTTAATTGTCTGCTAAAGACAAATGGGCAGTAAAAGTTCATCAGTTTCATCTTTTTGCTTCTCGTTTAGAAGCAGAATAAATGATCCATCACTACAGAAGTAGCCTTTCTTTCTGACACGGAAGTAATGCAGACCCAACACGTTTTATTAAAATGTTTTCCCCTCATTATTTCGCTCCTCTCAGCTCTGATAGATCTTACTGTTTCATAAAAAATGTAATCTGAAATGTAAATAAGGGTCTCGATTCAGAAAGAAGAAGTAATGAGCAGCCTGAGCCACATCTTAGGACTCTTGATTGTAATTACTGACAAAGTGATTTCTCTGTGCCCCATTTTTTTTTTCTTCCTTAAGTTGTCTGTGACACCCTCAGACCGCAACGACATCTATGGTTTAAAACCATTAAATCACTGTAGCACTCAATATTTCATTTAAAATCTGGTAAGCCTGCTATCTTGAAACCTGAAAGTATAGGCTTTGTTAATTCTGGAAAGACATGCAATTCCTGTATTTTTGAAAATAGAGGAACAAACCAAAAAGGCAAAAGCAAGGGCTTCTCAGAGTCCACATTATTTATTCATCTGCTTTTGTTTAATGCTTAGCTGGTTTAAGTACTAAAACATCAACATTGATAGGATCCTGACTTGAATCCTGCATTTAAAAAAATAAATCTTGTAACAACGTATTTAAGGAATTTAAAAAATGTGTCCCTAAGCGTAATATGAAGTAGTCTAAATTTTTTTTGGTGGGGGGGGGGCGGGTGGTGTTAAGATTCCAAAATCACGGATATGATTTTTTGGTTACTTTGGTTTTGGTAGCTTAAACCACATTCTTTTCAATCTTTCACTCCAGGTTTAGATAATGAAGTTCTTAATAAAGCCTGGACCATAGAAAAATTTGTTAAAAAAGACCAGAATCGCAATAAGATTATTTTTCATTTCTAGAAATGGTTCTCAAAGATATCAGCATGTCAATCTAGCGTTAAAAATAAAATACAAAACATGAATACCTTTTTTTATTGGAAACAGCCTGTAGTTAATTAAGTAGATTTATAATTATTCTGTTTACTGTATTCATTCATAATTATGGAAATAATTGGTAAAACTTTATTCATTGTGATTAGTGTAGTTTTAATGAATACTAATTGAATTAAGGGAGGAAAGGATAGTTAACATGTTAGCAAATTATGGTCAACCATTCTCATCAAAATCCCATCTTTGGTTTCAAAACATTATATGCTTTTCCAGATTAAAAAGGGCCTTTAGTAATTATAACATGTACTATGGGATAATTTGGAGTAAAGCTATGGTAACCTATCAGAAGATTTCCATAAATAGCCTTGTAATATGTCAAGTGTAATAGGCATTACACATACCATTTTAAAACATGTTAGTTATAATACGATTACCTCTTGTCCTCAAACATGAAGAATTAATAATTTGTTCTCACAGTTGCACTTTTTACAGCCTATTTGTTCCAAGAGTAGTGCTTAGAGGGGGTGTACGAGAAGTTGCTTCTCCAGTGTGCTCATCTATATTTTGGTGAAATATAGCCAGTGTCTTAGAGGTTTTTGAATAGAGGTCTGAGCACCCTTACTCACCCTATTTATATAGTTCGCTGTTTAGAGTTGCAGGTAATTTTTCTTTCCACTGGCACTGAAACAGAGGTTATAATGAAACCAACAATCTTTATGCATTTATAGAAACTATAAAAATTTTATGGAAATCTTTATATAGAAACTAACAGTGTTTCTTGTACAAGCTCTATAAGCAATGTAGAAACATGGGACACTGGGAAAAATAAAAAGGTACCCTTTCTTTTATGGTTTTATATGGTCTGTGTGATTTTAAAATTTCACTATAGGCAGTTAAGCAAATTATAAAAACATACATCACCTATATACTAAAAAGGAACAAAAATATGTTGCATAACTTAGGCTAATTGTGATGGAAATTGGCATTTGTGAGTTGCGTGTAATTGCTTAAATATGGAGTTTTCATCTGTTCATACTTCAGGTATGCTCTAAAGAAAACATTTTTTAAGCTCACAATTATTCATAGTGTAACCTATGTAAATGGTTTGGAAGATTCTGATTAGAAAGACAACAGAGATAATATTTACTCAAGACTTAAACTACCTGTATGTTGGTGATGGCCTCAGTTCTTTTGGTGAGCTCCTGTTTAAAAACTTTTGTGTTTTTTTTTTTTTTTCTAAATCTTGATAAGCCAGAGACTAAACATTTCTATTCAAAACTTGTTCATGCCCTGATTCATTGAAAGAATACAGATATGGTAACAATATAATGTATAATAATACAGAAAATTACAGATATAGTCCACAGCTCCTAAATTTTCTGTTACTGTGAAAGGAAGTCTCATACTGACATTATATAATATGACATACGTGTGTAATATTCACACAAGATTTAAAACAAATGACACAATTTGATTTTTCTCATTATTGTTAGGTGGAGAACCACACTGCTGTGCGCCTGGTTTGCATAAAATGTGACGTTGATTCCAGAAGGATTCTGCCAGTCTTTCTATAGTGACTTATCTAAGCTCTAGAATCTTCAAATTGGAATTGAGACTTTGGGCCTTGCTTTCACCAAACTCACAAAGAGTAGAATCAGACCTGGATATACCCCATTTCTCTTGGAAACTTGAGCTTCCTTCCCCCCCACCCCCATTCTTCTCCAAGGTGTGGGTGCTGTCATACTTCCAATCTGCTCATATAATCTGCTCAGATTTGATCCACTTTAAATGGTGAGGTCAAGTTTGGTCCTGGAAACCATATACATGGGAACAGAATATATTGATTCATTTGAATCTCAGCCAAAGAGTCAAATAGATCACACTTTAAAATGGCTCTACAGGGGCACCTGGGTGGCTCAGTCGGTTAAGCATCCAACTTCGGCTCAGGTCATGATCTTGCAGTCTGTGAGTTGGAGCCCCGCATCAGGCTGTGTGCTGACAGCTCAGAGCCTGGAGCCCATTTCAGATTCTGTGTCTCCCTCTTTCTCTGACCCTCCCCTGTTCATGCTCTTCCTCTCTCTGCCTCAAAAATAAATAAATGTTAAAAAAAAATTTTTTTTTTTAAATGGCTCTACAACCCGACCTTTAAAAGACTAACTTATAAGTGGCTGCATTTTCTGATTTTTTTTCCCCCTTGTGCCTTTGATGGCAGAAACTGGGAGACTAGATTTTATTTTATGCATGAATTGAATGAGAGATTGATAAGTGTAGTGTCTGCACACTGTGAGCCAGATACCATATCAGGTAAAGAAGAGAGAAGTAGTAGATTCCATCTTTCCCCTGAAGGACCTTAGTGTCTAGTAGGCTACAGGGGTAATGGGGTCTAGTAGGGGTCTAGACCTTACGGTCTAGTAGGCTACAGGGGTTGTTTTGTTGGACTGTTAGAACAATGCCATGACCAGAAATTGGGGATGTCTCTGAAAACTAGGACCTTTGGGTAGGGATGCCACCATGTAATCACATTCCTCCAATTTCTTGTCCTTTGTGTTATGACGCTGTAGAAGGTAATAAAGTTAATCAGAGTAGTACAGAGAAACCCAAGTGGAAAGTCCTGAAGCTGCCCTTAAAGATAATCTTTTAAGTTTGTTTTAGACGTGTGCTTTTTCCAAGAGTCACTGTTGATTTATGGATTTTTCCACCTCTTGCTCAAAAAGGTCCGTTTCCATATTTCTTAGTAACTTGGCAGTTTGGGACTGTAGATGGAAACATAATTTTCTCATCCACAGATATAAACTCTCAATCTCTTTAGACCCTAGGAGGTGATTGTTTAGCATAATAGCAACAGAGCACCCCGCTGAAGCAGCTTTCTTCAAGTAGTGCGTCAGTATCCACGATTGCCATCCAGTGTAGCCATTTTGATGGACCACATTACAGATTTTGAAAAGATTCATTGATAGATTGCAGATGTATAAATGCAATCCAGATTAAACATCTGCTTCCTTGTATATGTTTAAGAGTGTCCTGTTCTTGATGATTGTCTTGGTTTTTATGTTTTTTCGAGTATAGGTTCACGGATGGGTAAACAACAATCCTAAAAAAAAAAAAAAAATCTGTCACGTGTTGCTTTTATTTCTCCCAGTGTTGTTACAAGTCAAATTTATCACCTTGGATGAATGTCAAAATTCATGCTTGTTAAAGTGTGTGCTGAAGAGAAAGCCACCTTGTATATAAGAGCAGCTATCCTGTCATATCTATATCATGAGTTTCCCCCTCTCCCCCATTTCCAGAAAAGGGTGAATTTAAGAATGGGATAGGGTTGGGCTGACTTATGAAAACTGTATTTCAAAACCTTAAACATGTAGCTGAACTCAATTGAAAAATTGATACATTTTCTGACTTAAGGCTTTTCTTTTAAGTTGAAGATTTCTTCCCAATTTGGTCACTCCCCAGCTGTTACAGTTATATAGAAGGAACTCATTAAAAAGACAAATTCTTTCTGAGCTATTCTTTCTGAAAGCGCGCCAGGCTATGCAGCTACGTTGTACTACTACTTACTTGAATCTAACGCCAGGAAATGGTAATTATGCAATCCTTACTTACACATTCTTATTAGAAGTGTTCTTCTGGTTTTATTCTGGCTCCAAAAAAGCCCCACTAAATTTTAGACATCTGTGAATACTATTGGATGGTCTTGTTTCTGGTGAGTTACTCCATGATTGTGACTAAATGGACTGTGGCTGTTTTTGAGAGTTGTAGTCTGAGTCTTAACTTTAGCCTCACGTAACCAGTCTGTTACACATGGGCAAGTCTGTAGTCCTCCAGTCTCATTCATTATCCCTCCTAAGGTGCTCTCCAGTCTCCCTAGTGTGCCATTTCTCTCTGCATTCAACTCTCAACCTCTCTCATGTGGACTCTTCCTAATGGCCTACAACCCAATGTCCTTATAATCACTACCTTCCATAAGATGGCCAAAGATAATTTTCTAAAACCTACGTCAAATCACACCATTTCTCTTTAGTCAAAACTTTTTTTTTTTTTTTAATTTTTTTTTTCAACGTTTATTTATTTTTGGGACAGAGAGAGACAGAGCATGAACGGGGGAGGGGCAGAGAGAGAGGGAGACACAGAATCGGAAACAGGCTCCAGGCTCTGAGCCATCAGCCCAGAGCCCGACGCGGGGCTCGAACTCATGGACCGCGAGATCGTGACCTGGCTGAAGTCGGACGCTTAACCGACTGCGCCACCCAGGCGCCCCTCTTTAGTCAAAACTCTTGATGGTTCCCTGGTGCCTTCAAGATTGACACCAAATTTCTTAACTTGGATTTAAGGCCCTTCACAGCCTGACCTTGACTCAGCCTCCAGCCTGCTGTCCTACCACTTTTCACTTTATAAGCAGACATAGAACACCTCACTGTTTCCCAACATGGTTTGCTTTCTCCCACTTCTGTTTTTGTCCAAGCTGTTTTTATGGTTGAAATGCCTTCCTCAAGCTCCCACCAGGTATCCCCCAGGTATACTTCTGTTCAGCATTAATTGCCCTGCTTTATATCACTTCCTCTGTGAAATTTGCCGACTGATCAGTTATTCCATCTCAGCACTTGGAGAGCACTTGGAACATTGACTCCTTACACTGTATTATTGTCTGTCAATCTGAATTCTTCAAGTATAGGAATGACTGTAGTCCATGTTAGAGACTCTTTTCAGCAGATAGGATAAGTTACAGGCCCGTGAATAATTGTGAATATGAAGTATGTAATACACAGACATAATTGCTAAGGAGTCCAGGTTCCAGAAAGGAGGCTACAGGTGCATGACAGTGGTAATCAAGAGCATGGACTTTGGAGCTAGACTGATTGGGTTTGAATCCCAGCTCTGTCATTTAGTGGGATTTACCTCTTTGGGATGTCATTTCCTTCTCTATGAACTAGAGATAATCAGAGTAAAGACCTCCTAGGACTTTTGTGAGGGTTAAGTGATTTTGAAATGTGTAAGAGTGCTCAGAATGAGAACAGGCATCTAATAACCAATAGTTATGTAGTGCCTCCTCCTTCTAGGGGGCAGATTTAAGGTAGCAGTTACCCCGGTTTGGGTACTTTTGTTTTGTCAGGTATTAGGGTTATATGTGATGAGCTTTGCCTCTAGAATTTGACAGGTCCTAAGAAGAATTCTAGAAAACCTTTCCTTCATAAGCCTGCGCTATTCCAGAGCAAAATTTAGAGAAGTCGTAAAAGGAAGAGAGAGTACTTTGTCAAGTAGAGATGAAGAGATATAATCAGAAACCGTTTCTGAGTATTTATGTTCTAAAACGTACTGAAAATGTGGAAACTCTTGTAATGGTGATGAAGGGGTTTCAAATAACTAATTATTTTTCATTTATTTCATTTCCATCGCGAAATCTGTTTTGAGACTTTCCGTGTTCAAAACCCCAGAAATTTAGTAACGGGGCCCACAGTCCTTGTGATTAGCCCTTTTTGTTGCGAATAGTGATTTGTACTATTGTGTTAGCTTTCATCTTTTAAGTACTTACATGCAGCAGAGTTAAGAGTCTTGTGGCTACCATAATTTCAAACTGTCACCTTTGGTCAGTTTCAGATTTCAAATGTGAACTAGCACGAAGCCCAGACTGTTGGACTACTCTGTGGTGTGTGCCTGTGTGTGTATTTGCAAGTGGGGATTGGTGGGTAGAAATGAAATGGTATTTATGAAAGAATTAAGATTGTCTTTGAAAGAGCATTGAGTTGACCAGAGTCACTTGCTTATATATCAACCTTGTGAAATGTGTGATATAATACTGTTTCACGTTGCTTTTATTCCTGGAACATTCTTACCCGGCACTTTGTCTAATAAATACTGACTCATCTCTCAAAAGTCAGGTCACATGTCACCACCTCTGAGGAGTCTTCCACATCCCCTTGGTAGAACCTGACAGTACCTTCCTTATTCCTTGACCATACTTTCTGTCAGAAAACCCAGCACACTTTATTGCATGTATCTATCTTCTTCCTCCCCTAAGCAGGAAGTCAGGGAATCTTACTTGCTTCCTATCCATATCTCTAGGACCTGGTACTGTGTATGGGTATATGTATTCCAAATATTTGCTATATAATAATAAATGATTGTTTGAATAACGTTCCCACTGTGATCTTGGGCTCAGAATTTGAATGAGGTAGGACAAACCAAAACCCACATTTATTGAATCCTATCTTACCTAGCAGAGGCTTTTAAGGTTCTTGTATTTGAATGTATTTCAAACAGGATGCCTCTTTAGTAACATCTAATTTTAGAAGTGTAAACTGTAAATTGTTGAGAGCATCATTTTTATCAGAGAACTCTTCCAACCTCCCAGATACTTCTCATCTCTAGAGCTCTAAACCACTGGTAAATTGAGTGTTTCTAAATTTCTAAAATATATCTGTTATAATAAACAGATTTAATGGCAGCTAAAATCTTTGCATTATTCATGTCTCACTTCTTTCTTTTTTAAAATTATACTTATTTATTTTGAGAGAGAGTGAGTGAGCGTGACTGGGGGGAGGGGCTTAGAGGGAGAGTGAGAATCCCAAGTGGGCTCTGAGCTGTCAGCAGAGACCCCAACACAGGGTTCGATCTGATGACCTGTGAGATCATGACCTGAGCCAAAATCAAGAGTCGGATGCTTAATTGACTGAGCCCCACCCAGGTGCGCCCCATCTTAACAATAATCCCCCCTACAAATTTTAAGTGCCCCCCCTTTTTGTGTGTACATTTGGCCCAAAGAAAAGTAGAAGGCAAGTATGCCCATGTTATATGAGGTCTGGCTTTGTAAAGGTCACGTTGGGCAAAGGCTTTAGTTTTTCAGCCTATTTTTTTTTTTTCATCTTTAAAACGGGAAGTGTAGTAATTTTGTAGAACTGACAGGAGAAGTGGGCATGATATATACACAACACCTGGATTAGTCTGGTTCGATAAAGATTATCTGATGTAGCATGAGGAGAATGAAGCAAAGAGAAGATTTTCCTGTTTCCATGTAATTGATGATGTCTGGTATTGTATTAAGTCCTAGAATATAGATAAGTTTTTAATGTGGATAAAGAGCCTAGAGTCAAGTGATAAAAACTATTCTAACCTCTCTCCCCAGTTTCCCATCACAAGGCAGATAGAACAGCTGTGTGTTCTTTCACTACCCTCCCGACAAGCCATGGGTTTCTCTCTAAGACTCTGATGACCATAGCATCTAGGGCACTTTTGAGAGTGAAATGGGCACCATGATAACACAGAAATCATGAGCAGACCAGGATGTCTTGGGCAGGCTGGCACATGAGACTCCCCTACCTAAGAGCCTGTGACCCAACAACATGAATCTTTCACTCCACTGCTGCAATTGGAAAGTGAGGTGGGAGAGAGGCTTTAGCTTCATTTGGCGTGGAGGGCTACCACTGCAAAGGTGTAGCTGTGTGAGTGTTTGTAACTGTGGAGACAGAATCCTAATCAAGTAGGGACCAAGAATGAGACTCTCCTTTGTAGTCAGCAAAGCAGCAAGCTGAGAATTGTGGGAAGAGCTTAAGCTCCAGGGGTAGATGAACTTGGGTTTGAATGTTGGCTTGTCCATTCACTGTCTACTTGCAGTTAGGCAAGTTATTTCACTCTTCTATCTGAAACTAATGTTATTCTGCTTTCAAAGTTCAGTTCACGCGTAAGAAGTTGATAATCGTTATAATACATAAGATTACTGGCAGGATCGTTGAGCATCTGTACTTCTAGCACAGGTTGTGCAATGTATTAGCTGCTTTGTCAGTCTCCTTCCGCTGGTCACTTTACCCCCTCCAGAGAGCAGATGACCATTGGTATATGAGGAACATAATGAAGGCTGGATCAGAAGAGACTTACATAGGTCAATTAGATACTTTAAATTATATACATAATTCTTTTTTTTTAATGTTTATTTATTTTTGAGAGAGAGAGAGAGAGAGAAAGAGAGAGAAAGAGAGAAAGAATATTCCAAGCAGGCTCCACACTACGAGTGAGAGCCAGATGCGGGGCTTGAACTCTTAAAAGGTGAGATCATGTCCTGAGCCGAAACCAAGAGTCGGCCACTTAACTGACTGAGCCACC